AGTACGAGCAGAATTCTCAATGTCATCCTTATCAGTGACTTTTCTCGGAATCTTCTTGACAAATCTGTCCATAAAACCTGGAACAGAGCAAATTAACTCTATAACTGACTTACAATTTAATGAGAAAAATGACTACGCACTTTCATCAAAAGTAGATATATCACCATTTATATCCATACCATAACGGATTTTTTGGGATAATGTAAGCTTGTCCTATTTTTAAGATGCAGTACTACGTAAGTAGTAGAATTTATTCTACACTGAAAATATATGCAATAAATATTTTAACATAGATTCGCACAAATATTCTTAACCCAGCTAATTTTGTATATTTGGGTTTGAATAATCCTAAAGTTGTACAAGTTTTTGTCAAACAATTCTTCGATATGACTGCCATAATTGAAATCGAGAATGCAATTTAAGGAGATTAATTTTTACAAGTTGTGTAAAAAATATTAAATCCGTGATATAGACGTACCTGCTATATACATCACTAGGTATTCCAATTAAATAATTAATGTCTATCACAACACAAACATCAACATTAAATACCATTTTTCTCATATTTTTGAGAATATTTATACGATTCGAAAATTTAAACAAAATATTTCAATTCAAAGAATATGTATTGAAGTTGAATATCGACATTATGACAAATAAACAATTAAAATCTGACAGTTCAGAAAGCACTGAAGCGAAAATTCAATTTCAGAAGATTTTCAAACAGCACACTAAAAAACGTTTTACATACAAACAGATTTGTCTTTGAGAATACCACTTAGCATTTGTAAAAATTCGATCGTAATTATTAATTTCACCACAATAAAATAACACATATCTAGCAACATTTGAATGAAACTGATTTCTACCGCACATTTGTCTTTCCTTCACATTTGTACAAAAAATTTTAACTAATAATTTCTTCTTGAGTTTTAACAAGACTTGCTGGTTTCAGATAGTTCTCCCAATCATACGGATACTCGAACACTTTATTGTTTCGTATGGCATCATTCATAAGTCCAGTTATATTCGCATATTCTGGCTTTGAATAATATCTAATGCAGAATTTTTTTAATTATAAAAACAAAAATGGAAAGTTAAATTTATGATTAGCACTTTATTTTTGTGCATTTCCAAAATATATAAATTAATAATATTTAACCTAGTAGCATCAATAATCTGCATAATTTTGATATACTCTCGTGGACAGCCACCAAACAGCTCTTTTATGTATTCATCTTGTCGACAAAGCTGCTTACATTTACCCACTTCATCTTTATCTTTCATACCTTTCCAAGGCAAATAACCAACAGTCAACTCAACCTGAAAATATTAAAAATTTAGAAATGAAAAAGTAATAACATCATTTTCACTGTCCATTCATTCTCGAGCAGACGGAGCAGAAAAACACATCCTTTATCCAAAAGAATCATGTTATAGGCTGAAGTAAGAAAGATTATTAAATCATAAATTATTGCGAACATTCCTAGGGCGATGAGAAAAGCGTGAGAAAATTATGCAGCAGACTGCTTTTCGTTTTCATTTTCGAAACTTAACTCTTCATCAAGTTTTGTTAAATAATTCTTTCTTTTAATAGCCTGCTTCTTAATCAAATAAGCTGAAGTAAACTACCTGTTGATACATCCAACTTTCTAGATCATCTTTTCTGCATTGCTCGCGGGAAATATGACTACTAATGGGTGCATATCTGCAACAGTAACTTCATACAATATAGAATTTAGTTAGTAAAAACCTTATAACTTGAATTTTGATTAGACTATTGACATTTAAATACGTCAAAAAAATAGGAAGAATAAAGTGTATTTAGTTTTCGTTT